ATATTCTTCCCTCCTAGCCAAATTAACTGTAGAATTGATCTTTTCTCTACTATCTACCACGCTCTACAATTAGAATATTTCTGAAACATAAAGCGACAGGCAAGCCCATTCCCTTCGAAACAAATCAACCGGCAATCCCATTCCCTTGGTGTATACCCTCCGCGGCTCTCTGTTGTTCTTAGGATAGAGCAAAATCCCTTCCGGCCTTCTACTGTGCTTCCTCTTGCCTTCCTCACGTCTTGGCTATCTCACACCATGCTCTTTCTCTGAGCATGTGCTTTGCAGGTTCCAAGGGAGGAATGGTGAAGTAAAGAATTCAGGAGCAGCTCTTGGGAGAGAGGAAACTTGAGCTAGTACTCGATGGCATTTGCATGCAGGTGGGATGAGGGTACTTCATACTGGGAAGTAAACTTTTAAAGTACTAAGGGCAGTCAGCCGGTGGTGGCGCATGTGTTTAGTCCCAGCACTGGGGAGGCAGAGGCAGGTGGATCTCTGAATTCGAGGTCAGCCTGGTCTACAGAGTGAGTTCCAGGGCATTCAGGGCTACACAGAGGAACTCTGTCTCAAAAAAAAAAAAAAAAAAAAAAGTGTTGAGAACAGCAAGAAGGAGCCAGATTGTGACGAGCTTAATTGAAATACAAAAATAAATTTAAAAAAACCCTCAATTCTTTTTAATTTTTAGGGAGTAAGCTGCTATTCCAGAAATATTCAACTCTTTATTTTGCTGGACAAAAGCCTATGATAGATACTTCTAGTATGAAAAAGAGAAGTATTTAGTTTTCTGATTTCTGTATTATTTGCCAAAGCAGATTCTAAGATAGGAGACAGGGAGTTGATGCTTTGTTTTACACAATACCAAGGAGTAGTGAGCCAGGGGCTAGATTGTGTTTTCATTGTGCTTGATATACACAGCTTTGCCTACAAGGGGCTTTTAGTGTTGTGATTGATTGAATGATTATGGAAGGTCTGTATGAAATCTAGAAGTTAGAAACAGTCCTCACCATTTAACAAAATAAAATGTGATTTGTAGATGATACATTTTAAAAAACTATTGCTTTTAAAACATAATATATATAATATTTACTTTAATATTTTATATTTATTAAGCTTTTTAATAGACTTAAATTAGCAATAAAGCTAGCAAGAACAGTTTTCAGCAAACACATGGAACTACATAGCTTCACTGAGAAACATTTAAAAGGATCAAAAAACCAGCTTTGAATGTCGTGTGTTTATGTTGCTTTCATTGGGGAAAGCATCTTCCTCTCGTTTTTTAAAGGCAACTCCTTCTCTTCTTTGTAGCACTCTGCCTGCTGCACACTGCATGTTTTTGTCACGCTTACGGCGACTGGATTCTCATCCTCCCTATAGGATCAATATTAAACCAGCCGCCTTTACCTCCTCGATCCATATTAAACCTGTCTTGGAGAGAGTCTGCTTATTGGATAATATAGCTACACCGGGGCTCTATGACAATATCTTTTGCTGCCTCATTAACTCTTGAGCTTTAGAACAAGATAAAACTGCTTTAAAGCCTCTTATCTGATGTCTGGTGTAACCTGCTGAAAGCGGGGGTGCCATTAGTTTATGTTAGAAATCAAATGGCCCTCTGCAGTGCAGGAAGTACTGATTAAACCTGAAGTATCCCTGGAGAACTCTGCAGCTGTCAGAGGGGTGGTAGCTGTCCCTTATGAAAAGGGAAATCTGGGCCAGAGGTCCCAGCAGGGCGGTGCTTTGAGAGTGGGCACGTGGCTGCCCCAGCTGTTCTGCTTTGCCTAATGAATTGTTTTACAAGCAGAGGCTGGGTATTATCATCACAAGCTGCCTTCCTGAGGGACTGGAGCAGGCCACATAATAAGTAACGTTAGTGATGGTAATTGAAATGTGATGGCTCTCCTGAGATCTTTCCAGCCCTGGAACTGGTTGGCACTTGTGGATTGTCTTGTCTTACCCAGGTCCTATTAGAAGTGTGCCCTCCCTCCCTCCAGTTTCATGATACTGTTGTGTGATTTTTTTTCTCTCTCCTGCCCGCTATGGAAATTCATGAACAAAGGCAGTGTTTGGAATGCTATAATGGCTTCAAGTACAAAAAGAATCACTTTTACTTTTAATTTAAATTATGGACACTGCAACAGCAAAGAAGAGCCACATTCCTTTGAAAGAGCTCTCTATGGACTCTAAAGGGAATATTATCATAAATTCATGATTATGACATATGAGTAATACAAGCTCTCCATATGAAAAAATTTAGATAGCATGGGAGAATATAAAGTCAAAGAAGAAAACACAGTGTGTGTCAATTTATCAGAGGTGACCATTACCACCCCACTTTCTCCATGAACACTTCCAGACATGTTCCGTACTTAGTCAAGTTTATATGTTATTACACAGCTGTAAGCTCATAATTTACGACATGTTGTGACTTTTCACCCTACAGTGTATCTCAGAGAGCTTTGCTCAGGTCATAGGCCTCCTTCACTGTTGTTAATTGCTGCATGGAATTTCATTGTCTTGAAATACCAACTCAAGACTCCTAGGTAATTGGACTTGGACTTTATGAGTTAATACTTGTCATATTTGGTCGTGTTCATGATTTGTGTTCTATGGTTCTCTAATTTCTCATGTGATTTTTTTTTCTTCAATATTTAACCCAGGATTATTTTAAAATAGGAAATGCCTAAAGGCAAAACTTACAGGGGATTAGCTTGAATCTTGTCATGTGTCATCAGCAAAATATTTTATACTGATATATTTCCTGCTGTGTATTTTCCATCCTTTATTTTGGTGAATGAAAAGTGTTCAATACCAAATAGATAGGAGAAACAACTCTGAATGAAAATGAATTAATGTTTTCTTTCTTCATTTTCTGCTTCAGAAGTACCATCAAGTTTTTAGGTGCATTAATGAACTTGAAAATGGAAATGAGGGGTTAGGCTTTTTGTGAACTAACAAAGCAAAGTTGTGTCTCAAGAACTTTAAGGGCCTGGCAGGGAGTGGCAGTTTAATGAATAAAGCAAAGCAATTTTCTGGGAGCATTTCAGGTCAGTGATAGGAAAAATCAGTTCTTTTCTTGGGATAACAAACCTAGTTTTAGTAGCATATGACTTCAGTGGGAGAATCCGTTTCCAAGCTGGAGTAGAAAAGTTCACACCTGTTAAAATTGGGGACATGCAGAACACCTCAAAGTTCTGTTTTGTCTTAACATGACTAATTAATGTTCTTTTTCTGTCCTTGATGTCTGACATTGGAATAGTGTATAGCTCCTAGCTTAATAATAATAAGTACTATTTATTCTTGGCTAAGTCTTCAGTCAGTTCATGAGCAACAGGTATAGAGCTTTCTGAGGCTTTTCTAGGTGTTGGAGCGCCTCTAAGCCTGTGCTGTTCAAAGTAGTTACCACCAGCCACGTGTCTGTTGAAAGTAATTAATTAAATGAACTTTGAAACCCCCCCAACTACACTAGCAGGAGCTCAGTAACCACATGCAACTTACAGTCAGCTACTGTATTTAAAGTGGCACCACTTTAAACTGAAGGTTTGCAGACTGGTCTACAACTATTTTATTTTCTCTATGAGCTAAGAAAGAGCTTTTGTTTCCTCTACGAGCTTTTACATTTTTGTGAGGGGTCGGGGGACGTGTGGGACAGTGAAGGTTGTGAAACAAAAAGTGAATATGGCCTCAAAGCTTAACATTTCAATGTATTAAGCTTTATAGGAAAACTTACTGAGCCTTGGACATCCCTGACTTTTTCTGTCCCCTGGCACCAAATTCAGCTTTCTGGTTAAGTTAGGTTAGGACTTTCCCTGCACCATGAGAAAGCTGTGAATCTCTTGAGTAGGTCTGTAGACTGAGTTCTAAGCAGAGTTTTTATCACGAGGGCTGGAACTCCAGAGTGAGACAACATACGAGTGTTTGTTCCTGGAGCAACTTGGACGAGCATTTAAACGAGATAAAGGGTAATTATCGTCTTGCTTAAACTTTGTGACTAGAGCTTTCTATTTAACAGGACCCCATCCTGAACACTATTTTGTGGCTCCTGACTACTAAATTGTTCTGTCTTACTCTGAAAGAAACTTAATGACTGTACTTTAGGAAATCATTTACCATGAATGTTTTGGTTTTTTTTTTAATTTTTTAATTTTTTTCTTTTTAGTGCTGGGTCTCAGTACTGCTCTCAACTTATTTTGGTCTTCTAGGAAGAACAAAGCAAACAGAGTTGACATCTGAGAAATATGTTTGACTCTAACAGTCTTTCATTAATGTAAGGCTCCCTTTAAAATGAGCATCTGGAACTTTTGGGACAAATTAGAGAATTAACTTGTTGCTTTCCACATAGGATCTTGACATTCATGAGGTGCTTTTATGAGTTCCAACGTTTGTGATAACCCTGAATGCATAATTTTTCCTTTGAAAAAAAGGCATAATTAATTGATGAAAGTTATGTCATGCATTTGGGATTTTATCTAAGTCATTCTATAACTAGAGGTAACTAAAGTGGTTTTCCTACTAAAATAAATGTTTTGATAAAACATGCTGAATTATTAGTAAAATTTTAACTTGAATTTGCCTGAATCCTCAAGAGAGCTAGGTGCCAAATTAGGAAGGGAAGCTGTAGGTCATCAAGTAATCTAAAGAGAAAAAGGCAAACTTCAACAGAGCTCTGGAGAAAGAGGCAATCGGGAGAGGAAAGGAGGACTATGATTATGAAACAGTATTTCCAGAGACATCTTCATGAAGTAAGAGCTCCCTTCAGGTGAATTAGTGAATTGTAGCAGGGCACTGTTTAATTTTATCACTAAAGCTCTATTGATTACAGGTGGTTATGGTGTCCGCAGCTGCTCATGTTAGAACTTAAATCACCAAGGTTCTAGCCCATCGGTACCATGCCTCTGCCATTCTTTGCCAGCAGCCTCTCTCTCAGCCTTTTGTGCTCCTTAAGTTTTTTCATATAGCTTTTATGTGTGTCCTCTAAATTTGTGCCTCACTCTTTTACCTTGCAGGATTAAGTGCTTCTATTCAGTGTCTAAAAATAATCTCATTGGAATCCTCCTTCAATAAGGTATGACAAGTGACTTTTAGATCTCCTCATCCAGTAAAAGATCTCATTGCAGGACCAGAGGTGAACCTCTCCTAGGGCTGTTTACCAGGCTTTGTCTTTAGCATTTTATGATGCTGGTGAAAATAGGGCAAAGTTACGTGTTCTTAAGTATTTGTTCTCCAGCTGACAGTTTACAAGTATTAAGGAGAAGGAACTTTTCCATAGGTTTGGAAGTTATAAACCATAGCCATTAAGAAGACCTTCCCATTGTACATGATGGAGAGAACCTGAAATTCAAGCTTTTGAGAAACTAGACACTTCTACATTTCAATCTGAAAATATTATAAAAACTAAAAACAAAACAGAAAACCTTGCCCTTGCATGGCAGCATGTACCAATAATCCCAGCGCTTGCATTTGAGAGACTGGGAGTCAAGAGGTGAATCTGAGCCAGCAAGATTCTTATTCAAGATAGCAATGAGAAATCCAAAATGGTGTTGGGGGTGAGGTGCCCTTTATCTGAGACTTTTTTTTCCCCCCTGAATTGCCTTACCACTTTTTGAAAAGACTTTTTTTTTTTTTTTTTTAAGTGCGCTAAGGCTCTGAGATTAGCAGTGAATACCCTCTTCACTCCAGACTAGATTGTACATTGCTTGCGTTAGTTTTTCACTGCTGCAGGGAAATGTCCCAGAGAACTTACTTAAAGGAAGAAAGTGTTATGGAAAGTGGTGGCAAAGGAAAGCTGCTTGTGTCATGGCAACCAGAAAGCAGAGAGACAGAGACAGACAGGAAGAATAACAGCAGATACCCTTCAAAGCCATGCCTTTACAGACTTGCTTACTAAGAGCCCTTTCCGCTGTGATTTATCAGTACATTAAATCTTCAGTGATGTTAGGTGCCCTTCAGTGTGATCCTCTGTCAGTAGTGTCAGCTAGCTGGAGGTCAAGCTTCTTGTGTATTGGGGAAACACTTAGTACCCAAATCCTGGTGTTAACACAGTGTGGAAGTCAGTCTGACTCTGTCAGCTGGTTATCTGGGATTTCCATCGTTAAATTGCCAACACTTAGCATAATTGGAACATAATAGATATCCATTGTCTGGTACATGCTTTTTCTCTTTCATGATTTATGTAAACGAAGGCATTTTCATTTATTATAGTAGAGTACTTATCTAGGGTGGGCAAACGCCTGGATTTGAACCCTTTCACTCCCCTCTCTCCCAAAAAAAAAAGAAAGGGTTGAGGGAAGGTCAGTTTTATGTTGTTGGGAAAAGATATGATTTTTTCCTCTTCTTCTGGTTTTAGAAACTACATTGGGTTCTGCTTCTGTTGTTTAATACCAGAGTGTGAAATGAGTGCATGCACAGTGCTGTCACCATCTGTACATGCTTTGACTTTATTTGATAGATATAAACAAGAGGGAAATCCTACTAGGCTTGAAAGCTACAGACTGCCTTACAGAGGAACTACCCTTGTCCTTTTTGTTTTGTTCTTTATTTTTTACATTGATTTATGTGTGTGTGAAGAGAGCTATGGCGTGCTTGTGCAGGTCAGACACAATTAGAGCCTGTTCTGTTTGCATCATGTAGATTCCAGGGATTGAGCTCAAGTCGTTAGGTTGACACAACAAGTGCTTTTACCTACTGAGCCGCCTAATTGGCCTTTTAAATTTTTTGTCTGTCTTCTAATTTTATTCAGAATGAACCTGGTTTTGCAGAAATCTGTAAACTAATCCTAGGGGTCACGGTTCTGTTACAGCGCACGCAGATGGTTGAACAGTCTTACAAAAGCACCAAATTGAAAAAAAAAAAAGAAAAAGAAAGACTCATAATTTCTACTTTCACAACTTAACTTCAAAGCTGTCGTCAGCAATGGCAAGGACAGAGAGGCACAGAGGCGCATCACTGTGCTGTCACAGCAGCCTGAAGAATTTCCTTAGTCTTTTAGGGGACCTCAACTCAGGTGAAACCAAATCCTTGACTTGTAGAAAGAAAAGAATTTCAGGACAGGCCAGTATCAAGCAGAGTTAAAGTGTATTAAAAACAGAAAGGTACTCAAGGAAGAATAATGTGCATTCAGGGGCATGGTGTGGGGTTCTCATAGATGAGTTGCCATCAAGTGCCTTTGGTGTGCACATATATCAAGTTTCAAGTTACATCGCAAGGGTTGGTTCTCACACACACACGTTCAGTAAATGACAGTATAGGGTGTCTCTGGAGGTGTCTTGGATGGAGTTACAAATTTCTTTTTCAAGACAGGGTTTATTTGTGTAGCCTTGGCTGTCCTGGAACTCACTCTGTAGACCAGGCTGGCCTTGAACTCAGAAATCCACCTGGCTCTGCCTTCCAAGTGCTGGGACTAAAAGGCTGTGCAACTACCTGGCAGTGGAGTTACAATTTGATAAGACAAGACTGTGTCGCCTCTAAAGTTGCTCAAAGGGTCTTGGCATGTTCTTTTCGTAAATGGTTTTCCTGTGATTCCTAGAAAATTGTAAGTTTACAACTTGGTAGGGAGAAAGATCATATTCACTTAGGCCTTAAGCCTGGTTCATTCCTGTTAAAACCTTCTTATATGAACTCTTAATCTATAAAAGGAATAGTGTCTCTATTTTAGCATTCTTTACAGCAAATACTGTTAGTTGTGTTGCATTTCTTTACTCTTGGCTGACAAGAAGCTCCAGGATAAAGTATTCATTTTTTTCCCCATATCTCCATCACTTTCCTTGTCTTTCTTCCTGCCTCAGCTATAACAACCAATGCATGTGAAGGTGGCATGAAGATACCATATAAGTCAATGGAATAGAATTGAAAGCCTAGACATCAGTCTTTCCATTTATAGTCATTTGACAAGACTTGAGAAGTACTTGAAAGGGGAAACTGTATTCTCTTTAACAAGTGGTATGAGGACAACTGAATATCCATTAGCAAAATTTAGGACCATATATCGCTCCTCCCTCAGAATATTCAAAAACTAACTGAAAACAGATTACTGTCTTGAATATGAGTTGAAACTCTTAAAAGGAAATAAGCATAAATACCTATAACCTTCCAATTAGCAGGGACTTCTTAGATGTGATACAGAAAGCATAAAGCTTAAAAATGGGGAAAGAGTTGAGGGCCATCAAAGTGCAGAACTTTGTGCTATACAAGTCTCATCGAGAAAATGGGAGGGAGAACAAAGAAACAACAACAACAACAAAACAAAACAGCAGAACCTGCATGCACATTGACAGCTAGGAGGCTAAGCAAGAATGCGGTGGCCACATGCAGTGGGCGGTCAGTCAACTTAGAAAGAAGGGAATCTGACCTGGAGCTTTGAGGATGTTACATTAAGTGCAAAAAAAGAGAATAAGACAAAGATAGGATTCCACTCACATGAGGTAACTAAAGTGATCAAACCCATAGAAACAAAAAGCAGACTAGTGGTTGCCAGCTGGAGGAAAGAGGGTGATATTAATTGATCTTAATGATAACAGATGAATTGTACATTGTACACATAAGACAAGTTTTATGTGTAGTTCACTATAAATTTTAAAAGGTACTTTTAATGTTATGTGAGTTTTATGTCTTAACTTTTAAATTGTATGAGGAAAAAGAAAATACCTTGTCCAAGAATCATAAAGGCACGTGAAGGAGTCTGTCTTCCAAGCCTGCCTCTAGTTGAAGAATTTTCTCTTTCCCTTTAATGTACACTGATCATTTTTCAAGTTATGAATAAGTCTCTTTCACTTCGCCTATTCCTTGTATATTTCAAGATGGGTTTGAATTATCTTCTGATCTTCCCTGGCATTATTTGGGATCCTACCAAAGGTTAACATCTATTTCTTAGGATTCATTTATTATAATAAGGATAATAAGTAGAACAATTGTTCATAAGCTGTTTGGAAAAGCAGTGTGCTAGACCTTAGGTGTCAAATACATAAGCATCTCGCAAAGCACTAACGATCTTGTTAGAGAAACAAGGCAATTTATTAGAAGTTTGCTCACAGTGAAGGCAGTGTACTTAGTGTGCGCCACTTGACTCACAGTTAGTTTATAAGCATGAGAGATGGAGTAGGCCACGGGGAGAATGAAATAAAAGAAAGAAAGCCTTATAGTACCAGTGGTCAGTTGGTTCTCTCACTATCAGATTCTGTGTAAAATGTATCATTTCATATTGCAGTTGCTATTACATTGACCAGTTCAAATTCTTTTACTCATATCCATTTTCATTGTTGGCAGTCTAGTAAAAACCGTTGCTGGTTTGTCTCCCCTTGCACATATAGGCAGGCCAGTAATTAAACAGTTAGAAAGCAGATTGTATGGCGTAATTTTGGCCACTGAACCAGATATTATGCCTCTGTATATTTGTCCTGTTAAGCCTGTGAGTAGCCACAAAAGAAATTGGGACTCACCACTGTCCTGCATATCTGGCCTAGTGAATTTGACCTGTCCCTGACAGTGATTTTGATTATTTTTGCTTTTTGTGTTGAATGGATTTACTATCCATTGGAGTCTCAAGAACCCTTCTTTTAAAATAAATATTCTTTTCTTTTGTAAAAGCCTTTTCCATGTCAAATATTTACTTCTTTATGACATGAAACGATGCTTTTAAATATTTATTAGGCATGGCTTATTGTTAAAGCCCCGAAGCAGTTAGCCACTATTGCATCTAGGCTTTTTTTTTTTTTTTTAAATAAACTATTCAAGAATCCTTTAAAAAGATTAGCAAGAACAGTGTTAAAAATTTGTAGCAGCCCTAATATATATCTGTTGTGGCTTGGCAGGTTTTGACCCGGGACTGTGTAATGTTTTATTACCCTAAAGCTATATAAGCACACATACTTTTAGCTCTACTTTTGTAGCAAATATGTTTATAACTCTACAGAATGATTAGACTGACATAAAGCAATTCTTTAAATTCATAGGTATTAAAATCTTCTGGCAGCTGTCCCCTTTTTGCCCCTAAGTTGAGACATCATGAAGAGATAAGACTGTGCCAGGCCTGCTCAGTACATGAATGAGGTTAGGCATACTATTTTCACTTTATTGACAAGGGTCTTTGTCACTATGAATAGGAGAAATCTTGGGGGAGAGCCTCCAATTATAGTAATTTTACTCCGTTCCAGTAATATTATTGATTTTAAGGAAGTATTTTAAATGCATTCCATATGATCATATAAGAAGGACTTTAGGGTATAAAAATGTCTTTGAATACTAACTAAAATAGCTTACTTGATATTGAAAAACATACCATCTAAACTAGATGTGATATTCCACACACACATAAACAACTCTGGAGAGGTAGAAACAGGAAGATTGTTAGTTTGAAACCAGCCTGAGATATCTAATGCATTGGTGGCCAGCCTAAGCTATATAAAATGACCCTGTCCCAAAAAGCCAAAGGCAAAGGTGCCATGGTGGGTATTGTCCTATAATCCCAGTATGTGGGAACCTCTGGTAGAAGACTAGTGCCAGGAGTTTAAGGCCAGCCTGCCTGGGCTACAAGGTGAGACACACACGCACACACACAAAGAGAGAGAGAAAGAAAAGAGAGAAAGCCAAGGGCAGGAATGTAGCCTAGTTGATTGCCAAGTCCTGAATTCCACCTAGAACCATCAAATAAACAAGAAGCATAATCTTTTTGGGAGCCAGAGGTCCTAGTTAGTGTTAAGAGAGCTTGAATGGAACTTCGGGTATATATTGATTGACATAGGCTTTTCTGCCCTCAAACTGGACTTCTAGTAATCACAAGACTCTGGATCCCTGGGAACTAAGTTATAGGTGCTCACAGGGAGAGAGGCTTCTGGGTGACTGTAGTCATTCTTTTTATATTTTGTTATTTCATGAATATGTAATTTTGTAAGTTTCGTATATATACTTACTCAGTTTTCTATATATGTTATACCTCTAAAATTAAAAGTTTTTAAAGACAGGAAGTATAAATTGAAACAAATAGACTGGAATACAATAAAATAACCAGTGTCTTTTTAAGTTGAAATGTAGCTCTTATAGCTGAGTTTGGTTTTTGAAGCTTGTGAAAGGATATTGACAGCAGTGGTTTTCTAGCCAAATAGGAAGAGAGCTTGAAGACGAAGGGAACCCATCCTTCAGTTTTCAAGTAAACTTATATAATGGTATAAGAATAATGAAGTGTTTTCTGAGGTTGTTTTTGTCACTGGCAGCTATTAATGTATACAGTGTTTTTGTGCCTTAAATTTTTGGTTTTGTTTTGTCTTTTGAGACATAGTCTCTCTGTGTAGACCAGGTTGTCCTTGAACTCATAGAGACTTGCCTGTCTGCCTCCCAAGTGCTGGGATTAAAGGTGTGTGTCTATATGCCCGGCTGGTTTGGTTGTTGTTGTGAACACAAACATCCTTAATATTAACAGTCCACTCACAGTGCGTCATTAGATGAGGTGCCACTGGACTACAGGCAGGATGATAATGAATGTGATTCAGTAGATGGCAGCATTTCCTTTGAAGTTAGGTGGGCACATGGGGTGAATTTTCGCAACTTTTTCAAGAGGAATGAAAAGGGTCCCATAAGTGGGGCAGGTAGACAAGAAATTTTTTCATTTGCTGTATTTTTACCTTGAATGAACCAATAAGATTTAGCGTTCAGAAACATGTAGAAGATAGAGTTTTCTGCATCAAGTCATAGAATATCCGTGGGAAGTTCAGTTTACCATGCTATTACTGCAGGGAGTGTTAATATTTAGAATGTCTTTGTGTGTTCTAGGATTGAGAGCATTGCTACTTGCTGTGGGCAAAGATGTGGGTGAAATGTACTGATAAGGAGATGACAGTGTTGTTGAACAGAAATTTAGAGAAAGAATAAAGTCGAGCTGTTTTGCTGTTCATTTAAAAATGTTTATTTTCTGTGTATAGGTGTTCTGCCTACATGCACCTAGGTGCATCACTCTTGCATGCCTGGTGCCTGCAAAGGCTGCAAAAGGGATCTGCTCTCTTGAAAGTGGAGCAGCAAATGATTGGGAGCCATCTGGGGAGCTGGAAATCAAATCCAAGAAGAACAAGTGCTCTTAACCCCTGAGGCCTCTCTCCAGCCTTTGCTGTTTATTTTAATACAAATAAAATGTTATTTGAAGTCTCTTTTTTATGTTAAGTTTTCCTTAAATGATGGTGCTGGAGGAAAGCATTAGATTTAAGAACTCTGGTACATAGGAATTTGTAGGGAATTTGCCTTAGATTGAAGTGAGATGACATAGGTGTTGAGAATTAACAGCTAGTGGGTTAGAGAAATGGCTCAGCACTTAAAGGCACTTGCTGTTCTTGCAGAGAACTCAGGATCAGTTACCAGCACCACGTGGCTCACAGTTATCTGTAACTATAGTTGAGCAGATCTGATGCCCTCTTCAGGCCCCCATAGCCACCAGGCACACATATAGTGCACGTGTACACATGCAGACAAACACTCACACACAATAAAAGCAAAGAAAATTGTTCTAAATATATTCTCTTTTATGTGTATACATGTTTGCCTGCATGTGTGTATGTGTACTACACATGTGCCTAGTGCCCACAAAGGCCAGAAGGCTTTTGAGCCCCTGGAACTGCATTCATTAGGATTCTATTAATAATCCCCATGTGAAACATATTTTTCCTTTAAGACCCAATGTCTTCACTTAAGAATGTCTTCACTATCTATGGCCGTAGCCATATAGTTATGAGCTGTCATGTGAACGATAGGAACCAAACCTGGAACCTCAGCAAGAGCGGAAAGTGCTCTTAACCACCGAGCCATCTTAAAAAAAAAACTCAAAAGATAAAAACATTCCTATTATGTATAATAGGTTCAATTCACAACCTAAAAGCTTGGAGCCAAAAGAATTATATTCATCATGACTTTGCACTGTATCAGCTAGTGGCTGATAGCCTAAATTTTCTTTTTCTTATCTGCAGTAGCTATCGTAAATAATAAATTGTTGGCATTGGTGCATTGTCCTTAGGGCACTAAGTTGGTAATGGTGGACCCTACAACGGATGCTGCGGTGCTTTTTATACTGTTCAGTTGTTTTCTGGCATTTTCCTGTAGTGGAAACTGATACCATAGCTTTAACAGCCATCACTATTTGAGTCTTCACTAACAGGCATGGCAGAAAGTGCACTCACATGCCTTGTCTCCGAAGACTCTTGACCCCATTTTATACCTGGATGACAAAGGTCTGGACCAGTCCAGAGCTGTGGGTCAAGTCTAAGCCACCTGACTGCACAGCCATTACATTCAACGTAGTACGCTCTGTTTACCTTGATGTACTTGAGAGTTTTTTGTTTTGTGTCTGAGACGGTTTCTCTGTGTAGAGCTGGCTGTCCTGGAACTTGCTCTGTAGACCAGGCTGGCCTCAAACTCACAGAGATCTGCCTGCCTCTGCCTCCTGAGTGCTGGGATTCAAGGCATGCACCACCATGCCCAGCTACTTGAGGGATTTTAAAATTACATTTTAGTGTGTGAGTATGTGTATCTGTGTGTATGTGGGGGTTGGGGAAAAGATCAGAGAACAACTAAAGGATTCAGTTCTCTTTCCTTTCCACATGTGGGACCTGGGGACCAAATGCAGGTTTTCAGGTTTGGTGGTAGGTAACTACCTGCTGGGCCATCTTGCTGGCTCACATGACACCCTTGAGTCTTCTTGGCTTTCCCATAGGTAGTATTTGAGAAGGCAGGGCCATAGGTAATATTTTTAAATGAAGACAGTGGCCTTAAAGAAAAAATATGTTTCACTTGGGGATTATTAACAGAATCCTAATGCATGCAGTGACTAATTTGAGAGAATAGGAAGTTTATGCTTCTAACTTGAGCCTGTATTTTGTCTTTAGAGCACAGGCAAATAATTTCTAGAAGACTCAACTTTTAAGGAGAGGAATATACAGTCTAGAGTGTTAAGCTGTCTAGTTAGAGCATGTAGTTAGAGCATGTATGTACTATATTTATTGATACCTTCTAATTATTAGAGCTGACATTGCTTTTCCTTTCTTCATACATATTGTACACATGCCTTTTTTAAAGTGGTTTCTGCTTACTGTAATTTACATGGTAATGATGTTTTTTTGGGGAATACACTCAAAACTGTAACTAATTATGTTAACAACTTAATGTGCTTTTGCTATTTCCGCTAGTCAAAAATAAGTTTATATGATTTTTTAAACTCAGAGATAATTTTATGTGGAAAGTGATTTTATGTCAAAAGTATACCTTGTTTTGTAAATACACAAAATTATTCATGTTTTGGCTGCTTTCTGATCTGGTTTGTAAATTGTCACATTTTTTTAAATAAACATTTTATTATAGCTCTATATATGAAAGGGAATTCTCATATCACATATATCCATTTTCCGTGTTATTGTTAGTGTGCCACATCTGTTAGTGAAATGGCTCAGTGATCCAAGTCTTGCCATGTAAGCATGATGACCCGAGTTCAATCCCTGGAAGTTACATGAAAATGGAAGGTGAAGGGGGTTGGAGAGATGGCTCAGAGGTTAAGAGCACTGTCTGCTCTTCCAGAGGTCCTGAGTTCAATTCCCAGCAACATGGTGGCTCACAACCATCTATAATAAGATCTGGTGCCCTCTTCTGTCATGCAGATGGTACATGCAAATAGAGCACTCATATGTAAAATAAAGGAATAAATATTAAAAAAAAAAAAGAAAGAAAATGGAAGGTGAGAACCATTTTCATAAAAGGTGTCTGCTATGACACATTTTTGTTTATACACACAGCAATAAATTAATTAAATTATTTTAATAAATTAAGCATTTAAAAATTAATGTATCAGCTGGATGTTGGTAGTGCACACACACCTTTAATCCCAGCACTCAGGAGGCAGATCTGAGTTCAAGGCCACCCTGGTCTACAGAGTGAGTTCTACAACAGCCAGGGCTACACAGAGAAACCCTGTCTTAGCCAGTTGTGGTAGCAGTAGCGCACATCTATGATCCCAGCATGTGGGGAGGCAGAGGCAGGTAGATCTCTGTGAGTTTGAGGACAGCCTGGACTACAACGCTAGTCCAGGACAGCCAAAGCTACACAGAGAAATCTGTCTTAAAAAAAAAAAAAAAAAAAAAAAAACCAAAAGCAAACAAACAACAACAACAACAAAAAGATGAAGAGTTGGGTTGGGTTGGGTTAGTTGGGTTGGGGGGCAGCAATTACTGAACCAGTAAAGTCCATAGAATTTAGGTTTTCGGTGTTCCTAGTTTATTTTTAATGTCACTACTTTTCCAAGGTACCAAATTATACTTAGTAGTCACACCTCCCTAGGCTCTTCTTAGTCAAGATGATTTCTCAGGTTTTGCATGTTTTTGAAAACTAGATGGTTTTTTAGAGGTGGTCAGGGATGCTGTGACACGTCCCTCAGCTGGAAGTGAGCTGCTGCTCCTCTCACAGTCATGGCAGCCGTTCACTGCACACACTGTGTCCTATTGGGGACGGCAGAGGGGAATTTGAAAATACTCGTGGTGGGTAGACAGAGACAAGCACTAACTGTGCTCTTTGCTGACACTGAAATATCGACAGTATTCCTTGCATCATTTTAATGTTTTTATCATTTTTCATAAGCAATCAGTCCTAATTCTGCTAGAAGCAGAAGTTTTGATACTAGAATCTACTTGGTCCTTAGAACACTTTCTTCTCTAATATCTCCTGTTGGGGGATATTTTGGATGCACTTTAGTGTTACTCCTAAGAGCTTTATTTACTGTATATTGGCCTTTTAATCAGTAATGGGCAATTTTGGGTGAATTGTTAATTGATTAGAATTGTAGAAATTATATGCAAAGCTATTTTGTCACAGCCTAGAGCTGTGTAAGGTTATAACAGGATCTGGTTTAGTTACTATTCTAAGATGAAGGCTTGAAAAGTGTTATGTTAGTGATTTTGGTTTATATTCCAGCCTGGTTTAAACTCTGGTAAGAATTATTGTCTTTTAAATCACTGAGGTCCTCAATTGTACTCCATTAAGGGCCACTTTTCTGCCAATCAAAAAGCAGCATCCCAGAGATTGATTTTTTTTTTTTTTTTTTTTTGTTGCACTGGATAGTTATGGCTGCCTAGTGACAGCATTTCCAACTCTTTTATGTAAACAGAAAGCAATCAGATAAGCACTAATCCAAGGATTACGGAGACCCAAATCCGGGGCCAGAAGAATCTCTACAGTGTATGTTCCTGGCCCTTTGCCTTCTAGTGTCAAACAATGTCTCTTTCCTGGAAAGCCTGCTTGCTGCTTGTGCTGTCTGTTAGATGTCTGTGTGCTAAACCCAAACACCTCGGCAAGTCCTGAATAGAATTCAGAAAGACACTTACATTTCCATAAATAAATTAGGAATTCAGCGATTTCTTCGGGCTAATCAGGGCAGGCTGATAAACCTTGCTAGATGTTTAATAAATGAATTGTGACTGATTACCTATTAATATGGACGCCTCAGGAATTCACCCTGGGGGAAGCAGAGCAGTGAAATAGAGAGGGGCATGGCCCCTTGGGAAATCAGGGCTTCATGTTTGCAGCTTAAATATCTCTGTGAAGTATCAATAAGGAGGTAATTGAATTTTGAACACAAACATGAGTGCTAGATGGATGAAAGGGGGAGGGGGACCAGATCTGCTCTTCCCTGCCCCCTGCGTTCTCCCCTCCTCTTTTCCTTAGAGACCACTCTAGTAAAGATAGATGCTAAATCCATTAAATAAAGATTAGACTCTGTCGTTGTAGAAAATGGCAGCTTAGCTGGATCCCTGGGCAAATTGGGCCCTTTTGCAATACAGAAAATTAAAATATACATTTTTAACAAGTATCCTATCCTGCTAGTAATAATGCCAGGCTAGCTGGTGCTCTTTCTTTGGATTGGCTTTTGTTTGGACCCACCACTTTCTCTTGTATGAATGCCAATCTTTTCTGTATTCTGGGAGCAGAAGGGGCTGGGTTTATTTATTTATTTATTTTTAAAGCTGCTGAGACCTTTCTGTAGCATCCTGCTTGTTCCTAATCAGAGGAGTGGGAAGGAGATTACTGTCCCATGAATTGACGGTAGATAAATGTTCCCTCCCCTTAACTGGTGGGCCCAGAAGAGCCCAATCGCTTGCATTTCAGGGATGATTGGAGACTGTATAGCTGAGCAAGAAAGGGCTAAAGACTGACATAAACATTGATGTTTTGAGTGCAATTTTACTAGGCTTTATTTCCTCTAGATAAGGTTATTGATTTGCTTTGTCCTGCTAGTTTAAGCCAGATAAAGTCATATTACCATAAGAAAGAATTGGCATTATTTGTTTACAGATCATACTACTCCTTTGTTAGCAATAACAAAAACCAAGCCATAAGTACTTTCCTTTTTTGTATGACTGGGCTTTAGACTTATTTACTTACCTACCGTGGAGGTGTGTGTGCCTGAGTCTATGTATGCACCATGTGCATGCCGAAGCCTGTGGTCATCAGAAGGGGTGTCAGATCCCTGGGGACTGAACCTGAACCTGGCTCTGCTGCAAGAGCAGTGATTGCTTTGAACCCCAGTGCTCTCTCTCCAACCCTTAAATACTTTTTTTTTTTTTTAAGTCACTACACTTTATTTGTTGTGTGTGTGTTGTTAGAAGTCAGAAAAAAATGAGTTTGGGAGTTGTATCTCTTTCCACTTTGTGGGTCTGAGGGACTGAACTCAGATTGTAAGGTTCAGTGGCAAGCACCTTTTCCCGCCAGGCCAGCTCTCCAGCCTTGAATACTTTTCCTAATGTGCGTACTCAGTATTGGCATTTTGAACTAAGGTTTTAGTTGACCAATGTTATTACCAGATACTAATTGAGTGTTTGTTAAGTGGCATGGGCAATAATGAAAAACGTTCAGCTTCTTCAGTCCCAAGTGTTTCTTTTGAAAAACAAATCATTTCATACTGTTGCTTGTAAACTTCCTTTTTCTCTTTGGTTTCTACAAGGTGTATGTAAGTTCCCTAGGCTACCATGAAAGGGTATCTTATCTTCCAAAAAATTTCAAATAAGTTTTGTCATTCACTGTAGCTTCTGTGCTTGAGGCTTTGAGACCATGAAAGAGGAAATATACAGCTTCTTAGTTCTGACAATCAAGGACATCATTTCCCAGATGGTATTTTGTTGTTTTGTATGTATGTGGGGAAGTAGTTTTTAACAGAATGTCTTAATACGTGGTCCTGGCTAGCCTGGAACTCACTATATAGACAAAGCCAGACTCAAGTCAGAGGTCCACCTGCCTTTGCCTTTGCCTCCAGAATGCTAGGATTAAAGGTGTACCCCCTAAAGGGGAGGGCAGTAGTAGTAGCAGTACTTGGGAGGCAGAGGCAGGCAGATTTCTATGAGTTTGAGGCCAGCCTGGTTTACAAAGGGAGTCCAGGACAGCCAAGGCTCTGTTACACAGATAAACCTTGTCTCCAAAAACCAAAATAAGATGTTCGCTACCATGGACCTTGTTACTTATCTTTTTCTTGAGCTTTGTGGGAATTTTAACATAGCTCTCATTCAATAAGATGAATCTTGGCTTTGTGTATTCATAACCCAGACAATTATTTGCGTACAACATTGCTTTTTTTTCCTCAATTGTATTGAAAACAGTTTTTTTTTTTTTT